CCCAAGCCCAGCCGGGGAGAGAGCAAGTGGCCGCGCTGAGGGAGTCGGGTGCGATACAGGAAGTGGCTGTGGTAGTTGAAACCGAGAGAAGGGGAGAGAGAAAATGGGCGAGGGAACCGGGAGCCCGCCGCCGCCACCCGGCGCCCCCCTGGCGTCCGCTTCCCTGCGGGCTCGGCCCCCGGACTCGCGCTACCCCCCGGCAGCCTCCCCATTCGCCGGGCTTCTGTCCCGGACACCCCAGCTGCCGCCCCGCTGTCTCTCCGCCCGGAGAGGAGTCTGGGACAGGGAGAGGGGACAAGGGAGAGGAAAGGGCAGGGAGGAGCAGGAGAGGGGAGAGGAAAAGCGGGGTGTGTGTCGGCGGAGGGTGGGGTGGGGGCGATTCTGTCAGTTTCAGCCCAGAGGGTGTGTCTTTTATTTATTTATTTTTTAAAAAATTTGTCATGAGTCACATTACACAGACCTCCCCGAGGAGAGGAGGAAGCGGGTGTGGGGAGTGAGGGAGGACGTTTGAGAGAAGTTAATGTTAAAATTCTTTTAATTGAAGGTTTGTAAATCTGCCTGCTTATCCGTTTTCAGGTCGGGTTTTTTTTTGTTTTTGTTTTTCGTTTTTCCTCTTCTCATTTTCACTTCCGTCCCACCATAATGTATTCTAGGGCTATCGTTATTATAAAACACGAATTATTCTTAACTACTTGGAAAGATATCTTAAATACTCACTCTTCCACAAAAAGTTCTTGAACTGTTGGCTTCATGAGTAACTTAAAATAGAATGGTGTCATTGCCTGTTGCTTATTTTCTGAGGTTTCTCTCTCTTTAATATAAATAACTCTATAGAATATGAATCAAAATAGATTATCGAATATATTTACTTAGTCTTTGAACCACAACGTAAAATATCTGTTATTGTAAATTTCTTAGGAAATTCTTGGGACCTATTTATGACAGGTGCTTGCTTGTTTTTATTTTAATGTTGGAAGTGAATTAGGTGTGTGGCAGTTTGGTTTCTGGATCTTTAACTGCATAAACCAACAGTTTACAGTAGAAGCAAATGAAGTAGCAGAATCTAATGGCACCAGAAATTCTCTTGTTATTGGTAAGGCAAACCAAAGCGTGCTTTGAAGGGCTAGGGTTGTTGCAATTCATAACTAAAGTGTTTATAAAAATGAGTCCCATGTGATTATCATTTTTAAGAACCAATTATTTCTGTTTTGGCAAATGCTCTTCCTCTTTATTTTTAGAGGGAGATACTGTTTTCAGAATATTTGGAATATTTCTCCATTTCCATATTAGTAACATAAAAGCGGGGTGTGTGTCGGCGGAGGGTGGGGTGGGGGCGATTCTGTCAGTTTCAGCCCAGAGGGTGTGTCTTTTATTTATTTATTTTTTAAAAAATTTGTCATGAGTCACATTACACAGACCTCCCCGAGGAGAGGAGGAAGCGGGTGTGGGGAGTGAGGGAGGACGTTTGAGAGAAGTTAATGTTAAAATTCTTTTAATTGAAGGTTTGTAAATCTGCCTGCTTATCCGTTTTCAGGTCGGGTTTTTTTTTGTTTTTGTTTTTCGTTTTTCCTCTTCTCATTTTCACTTCCGTCCCACCATAATGTATTCTAGGGCTATCGTTATTATAAAACACGAATTATTCTTAACTACTTGGAAAGATATCTTAAATACTCACTCTTCCACAAAAAGTTCTTGAACTGTTGGCTTCATGAGTAACTTAAAATAGAATGGTGTCATTGCCTGTTGCTTATTTTCTGAGGTTTCTCTCTCTTTAATATAAATAACTCTATAGAATATGAATCAAAATAGATTATCGACCGAATATATTTAGTCTTTGAACCACAACGTAAAATATCTGTTATTGTAAATTTCTTAGGAAATTCTTGGGACCTATTTATGACAGGTGCTTGCTTGTTTTTATTTTAATGTTGGAAGTGAATTAGGTGTGTGGCAGTTTGGTTTCTGGATCTTTAACTGCATAAACCAACAGTTTACAGTAGAAGCAAATGAAGTAGCAGAATCTAATGGCACCAGAAATTCTCTTGTTATTGGTAAGGCAAACCAAAGCGTGCTTTGAAGGGCTAGGGTTGTTGCAATTCATAACTAAAGTGTTTATAAAAATGAGTCCCATGTGATTATCATTTTTAAGAACCAATTATTTCTGTTTTGGCAAATGCTCTTCCTCTTTATTTTTAGAGGGAGATACTGTTTTCAGAATATTTGGAATATTTCTCCATTTCCATATTAGTAACATTGTGTCTTCAGTAGCACTATTAGGAATTTATCTTCATAATTTTTCCAAGTTTTACTTTAAGAATTCTGATGATAAGTTAACTTGTTGAATGTTTGCCATGTTTACTGTATTGCTTGTTTTTGCAAATTTTATATTTAGTATTTTAAATAACATTTCAAAATCTAGTAGAAATGTGGATATAGTTTGCAAATAGAAAATGACCTTGTAGTTTATCGATATTAGAAATATGCAACTTTTATTCAACTTAATGTGAAAAGCCTGAAAATTGAGGTGAAATTGAGGTGAACCTTAATTTGCTGAAAAGTTTTAAAGATTTTGAAAATCAAAGGGAGTGCACAAGAAGTTAAATTGCCCCCATTCTAGAAAAGTCATTTCTTCTCTCTAGAAGTTAGCAGATAAGTGCTTCATAAAGGAGTGGCTCCTGTCTGTTTTGCATGTTGGGAAATCTGACACGTATGTGGTGTGGTAACTGCTACGTGTTGGCAACTGTTGGCAACTGTAAACGTGTTTTAACCAGTCTGTTGACTATTTCTTTTTCAGGTAGTTGTATGCTGTAATGCTTTTTCCCCCTCCCTGATCCCTTTCCTTTCCTCCTCCTGCAACCATCATGTAATAACTTTGAAGCGCTTTAAAACTTCATTGGTGATATCCCTAACTAAGATAAGTCATGTTATTTCTCACATAGTCTCTCATTTTAACCAGTTTTAGTACCACAGTAACAAGAGCCACTGTCAGGGTTTTTTGGTGGTCCTAAGTCTTATTGGAAAACAACAGCAGCAACAACCGCGCCCCCTCCCGCCCCCAACACAATGAAGTTTACACATAGCAATGATTATCTCAATACCTTAGTAGCCTTTAAACTTTGGTCTGCACAATCCAGGCCAGTAGTTGCCTTCCTAGGGGGCTCAGACAGGGTCAGGCTCAGACAAGCTCAGAAAATGATGTGAAAGTTGTTGTGGTATGTGGTGCTGCTGACTTTGGTGCTATGAATGTGAATAAATGTTACTAGAAATATCCATTTGGGTGTCTATTGAGATCTTTCCATATCCATTCTGTGACTCTGATTGGGTTATAACTAATACCGTACATAAATATGCTCCTTTTACGGAAAGAATGCAGTTCATTTGTGTTTGGAGAAATTCTTTTTTTTATACCCAAGGTGGGTTAAGTTATGGCTTTGGGTGGTTTTTATCCTGATTATTTGTTTTCACTTTGTTGTTTTCCAGCAGTTTCAAAGTGCAGTCCAGTTGAGCTAAGATGTTTACCTGAGAAGTTCTTTTGGCCGTAGTGCAGTTGAGTCCTTGTAGCAGTTTATTAGTTCATTGGGTCCTGTTGACTTTAACTATTAAATTGTATTATTAACCACAAGATTCTCAAAAGATTCCATTATCTTAAAAAGGACAAGGTTTTAGGGCCGAGCCCATGGCGCACTCGGGAGAGTGTGGCGCTGGGAGCGCAGTGGCACTCCCGCCGCCGGTCCCTATCCTATATAGGGATGGCTGGTGCGGCTGGTCAAAAAAACGAAAAAAAAAAAAAAAAAAAAGANTGCGCCACCGGGCCGGCCCCACAGCTTAACTTTTTAACTTACTTTTATTTTTCTGCTTGGAATTCCACCAAGAGAGTCGTTTTGGTTAAGAAGTTTGTTCTAAGCTCTGGGAGGACAAAGTGGATGTCATTGGTTGTATGTTACTGTGAGCTTAGTTTAGCTTGCTTTACACCTCCCAGGACATTTGCTCAGTTGTGCACATTTGATCTTGGAAGGCAGGTAATTTGTGAGCAGCACTTTGGAGGAGATAAAAGC